CCGCTGCTCGAGTACTCGGTTAACCGCTTGAGGTGCCAGTATTAATGACAATTCTGGTATTTGTTATGTTTCAACATCATAAGACTGTGAAGATACACAGACGGTCAAAAACTATTTTACGTTTTCAAAAATTCATGATCATTCCACTCCTAATTTTATGTCTAACACTCTGACCTCTGACCACACTTATGACCTTTGTGTGGGTTTCTGTATCATAATTAACTTCTACATGCTACAGGCTACATTTGTTACTGCGCCTTTAAGACTGATATATGTAAATGAGCTCTGCTTTGATTGGCTGCCCTGCATCGCTCTTCACTCAAAACCAAGTCCATGCAGAAGAACTCCTCATCAACATAAATGGGTGGAGCTAAACTGTTGTAGGAAGTCTGTGCTTTCACATCTACTTGTGTTCATGGTTGTGACATCACAAAAACAACAGATTCAGTGCAGGTTCTTTTGGCAGTTTAGTTTCCATAGACATGGACAGGAATGTGAATGTTTATATTTAGAAACTTTAACGACGTTTATGTACTATATCAACCTGTTTTATTAAAAGAATTAGTGAGTAGTTTGATTTTGCTTGGTATGGGCCCTTTAAGGAGATCTGACTGTCTTTTATTTGGTTACGTAAAACAGAAGGATTGAGAGTGCTGAGAACAGTGCGTTTTTGACGAATAGTCCAGGATAAAGTGCCCCTTTTGCGCGATGCTTTGATTGCTCTGGTGTGATGTATCATGCTTTGATTCTCTCTCTCCGCTCTTATCTCTCCACAATGAGGCTCTGTAATTTGATTCGGTTTGATATGGCTTGATTTAGCTGAGAGGTTTGATCCTTTGTCTTCATCGGAACGAGTGCTAGCAGCTCCCTGACTGAGTCTGAGTCCGTCATCGTGAACCTTAAGAAGCCCTGCATTTCGCCACATATACACAAATACGCACAAACATATAATCATACTTATAAGCATGCTGGCCTGTTCCCAACATTAAAGGAGTAAAGATGCACTGAAATCTGAAGGCTTGAATCAACTCTACTGATCAATTAGAATGAATTATAATATTTTTAAATATCATGGTGAAATTTCATGAATCTTAATCAAATAGAATAGCGGCTCCACACAGTCGTAATCTAATCGAACCATGCTTGCAGTGAATCGGAATCAAACTGAATCATGGGTGCATTGAATCATAATCAGTCAAGCTGTGGTTGTGCTGAATCATATTCAAACTGAATCATGGTTGCACTGAATCGTAATCAGATCGAGTCATGGTTGTATTGTAATTGATTAATTGTTATTAAATTCAATCATGGCTGCACTGAATCATAGCCAAATTGAACTGCAGCTGTGTTGAATCACAATCAAACTGAATCATAGGTGCATTGAATCAGAATTAAATTGAATTGCTGCTGTGTTCAATCATAAACTGAATCACAGGTGCACTGAATCATAATCAAATCGAATTGTAGTTGCAGTGAATCAAACCAAATCATGGTTGCCCTGAATCAAATTGCATAATACCTGCACTGAATCGTAATCAAACTGAATCATGGTTTCACTGAATTTTAATCAAAATGAATGGTGGTTACAGTGAATCAGAATCAAAACAAATCACAGTTGCACAGAATTGTAATCAAACTGAATCACATTTGCAGTGAATCAGAATCAAATCGAATCACACTTGCACCAAATCATAATCAAATCAAACAAGGCCTGAAGCAATAAATCATACTCAAACTGAATCATAATTGCATTGAATCGTAATCAACTATATAGTCATTGTGGTGAATCTAAAAAATGAAATCAAATCATGGTTGTATGTAATCAGAGTAAAATATATTTGTGGTTATGCTGAATTGTAATCAAATCAAATTTTAGTTACATCGACTCAATCAAATTGAATCATGGCTGCACTGAATCATAATCAAATTAAAATGCATAATCAAACTGAATCATAGTTTCTGTGAATCAAAACCAAACCAAATCACAGTTGTGCTGAATCATAATTAAACTCAATCATAGTTTCTGTGAATCAAAAACAAACCAAATCACGGTTGTGCTGAATCATAATCAAACTGAATCATGGTTGAACTGAATTACAACCAAATCAAATTTCAGTTGCATTGAATTTAAAAAGCTGTTGTTGTATTTGAATCGTTGAATCATAATCAGATAGAATCATGGCTGCATTGAGTCATAATCAAACTGAATTGTGACTGCACTGAATCGTAATTAAATCCAGTGGAAGCTGCAGTGAACCTGAATCGAATCAAATTGTGGTTGCACTGAATCGTGATCACATTAAATCATAGTTGCAGTGAATCAGAATCAAATTGAATCGCTGCCACCATGGTGATTCATACTCTCATTTGTAGCTAAGCTTTGCTTGCTTCTGGGCAGTGTTTACATACACCAAAAAGAAAAAAGAAAAATAAGCTAAAATTATTGAAAAATGTAAGATGATGATTTAATTGCACACATTTTTTGTTTTACAACTATAGCATGAAAAATTGACTCCCCCACCTTCTCACTGTAGAACTCACACTCTGCCCCTACTGCACACACACACACACACACACACACACACACACACACACATCCCAGTAAATAATTTCAGGACTAATAATGTCAACCAAATATGGATGCTGCCAAGCAACATGCCTTCTATGCTCTCACACACACACCAACATAAACTTTGCACCCCTCACACACACTGTTACCTAAACTCTGTGTCTGTAGCAGTGATTTGCAGACAGAAAGCACACAGAGTGGCCAGAGGAGCTGACAATCAATACTGCAGTGTGAATGTTTAACTTGGGGCACTTTAGATCAATACACGGCTCTGAACAAGGACTAAATATACCGCTCTGCTGAGAGAGAGAGAGAGAGAGAGAGAGAGAGAGAGAGAGAGAGAGAGAGAGAGAGTGCTGTGCAAAGAGAAACAAATCTTAAGCATTGCAACACTAATGAAGTCACACAGACTTGTTTATATACAAAGCAAGTATGTAGGTATGCATTACCTGTAAGTACTCACATGTAATAATATATCCTATTCATATATATGAATATATTTACATATGTGTGTGTGTAATATGCTTCACATGTATTATACATATAAGTACCCATCTATAATAATTACTTATGGCATATACAACGATCAGGCATAACATTATGACCACAATTACAGACTGTAGTCCATCTTTTTCTCTGCATACTTTGTTAGCTCCCTTTTACCCTGTTCTTCAGTGGTCAGGACCCCCATGGACCCTCACAGAGCAGGTACTATTTGGGTGGTGGATCATTCTCAGCACTGCAGTCACACTGACGTGGTGGTGGTGTGTTAGTGTGTGTTGCGCTGGTCTGAGTGGATCAGTGTATTATACATATAGTAAAATTCCAGTTTTCTTACATGTTAAGTCTTATTATTATGTAATTACTTGGGCTACAATGCAAACTGGCTGAGCTATTCTTAGGTTATAGAAGTGTGTAATATAACTTTGGGCCCACCTGCAGGCTCTGGCCGTTTAAGGGATTTAGTTTAGTTTTAAATATGACTGTATAAGTTAGTGTCTATATGTAATAATAATAATAATAATAATAATAATAATAACACATCTCTAATCTGTATGTATATACCATGTGTAACATATATAAAATAATATGCCCATATATACTATTCACTCCAACACCACGACATGTTTTACTGAAAATGTATGAACATAAAAACACAGAAGGACAAATCTCCCATTCACAACAATTACAGCTGTTCTTATACATCACTGTAATGGCCCACTAACCCTGGAGAGACGACATGTCCTTCAGCGCTGAACACTCCACGAGCATCACCTTGACCTGAGTACTTACCACCCTCTTTTCCTTCACCTCTAATGGGGTTGTAATCCCACCCATTAAGCCCCATCATCCAGAGATGAATGGGGCTGTGAGCAAATGCAATATACTGAGCTCAGCTGATTTGTAGATAAAGGCCAGAGAGCACAGAAAGCAAGAAATCTACCCCATCATCATCGTCCTGTCCTCATATTTAACACACACAGCACATACACCCAAATTTTCTGTCTTATATCTCTATAGGTCTGTCAAACCCAGGAAAGCCATCACAGTCGAAACACCTTTTATTTATGGACTTTTTCACTGTTTAGGCATTTCACTCTAAAAATAAGTGATGCCACTGAAGAACCACTTTTGGTTGCTTAAAGAATCTTACTAGTGAGTTTCTTAAAGGGACCATATCATGGAAAACAAATTGCCTTTGTTTTTATTGAAATAATAGAATTTTATACAGTGTGTAAACAATGTCAACATGTATTCCACTCCATACAGTCTATATATGTCTGCTTTGAATTTTGGGATGTCACAAAACCAACACAATTACATCTAACCTCCTATCCAGAAGTTTGGCCCCACCCATTCACATTGAAGTTATAAGGAGTGTTTCAGCTTGGCCTGCTTTTTGAGTGTTGCATAATACAAGGTGACCAATCAGAACAGAGGTTGTTTAGACATATCAGGTGCAGATTTTGGTACATAAAATGACAAAAGTGTGAAAAGTGCAGGTCAGAAGGAAAAAATGAAAACACAAGAAAAATATAGGATACAGGCCCTTTAAAGAACCATGCACTGAAAGGCTCTTTAGGGAAAGTGGCTCATCTATGGCTTCACTCCAAAGCTTTATTTTTAACAGTGCAGGATAATAGTACGAACATCACAATAACAACTAACCAATCCTGTATGTCTCTCTCTCTCTCTCTCTCTCTCTCTCTCTCTCTCAGTCTCAGGGAGGATATTAAGCAGGCAGACTCAGTGCCGGGCCGCAGGGAGGCCTTTAAGTGTGAAAACACAGCGCAGTGCTGTTCTCTTACCTCCAGAAGCGCTCCTCCCTCATACAGTCCGTATCTCCCTACGGAGGCCCGGAGGGGACAAACAGAGCACGAAGCGAATTCAAAACAACTCTGCAGAGGAAAAGCACGGCGGAAAAGGATACATGCGCACGCCTCCGGAGCGAGAGCCGATCGCCAGAATCTTCTGCACGGGATCAAACGCCAGAGCAGTGGGCTGGTAGGGGAAACCATGACGCACGGTCTGCGGAGAGAGAGAGAAACAACAGTCAAGCCACAGCGATTCACAGAATATATTACATATACACAGTTCTACACAGTAATTACATAGTAGTAGCTGAATAATAAGACAGTAATAATTCTAAGCCTGCAGTTTCAGGGGTTATACTGTAATATTTTCAAAAGATTCTAAACCTTATCCTATATTTTTCCTTCTTTCTATTTTTCCCACTGAGGTTCCCTTGTGATAGTTGTGTGGGTTTATGTCAATAAAAACATAATTCAGTCAGTTTTTTGTGACCATTTTCCATTCAACCTTTTAGAATGATAATTTTTGTTACTGTGCCTTTAAGGCTGATATATGTAAACAAGCTTTATATTGATTGGCTGCCTCATTCAGAAAGCAGTCCGGGTTGAAACACTCAGTGAGAATGGGTGGGTCTAAATAGCTGAAGGCAGAACAGGTGGATGTAAATGTGTTGGTTTTTGAGACATCACAAAAACGATGAGTTAAAAATGATGCAGATAAGCTTCTCTAAAAGGACAGTATGGACTAAGAGGGAATGGTAAAGTATGAAACTTCAAAAACATTCACATACATTCGCCCAATCCCATTTCACCCCTCGGCCCCACCACTTAGCCCTACCCCTCCATCTTGTGCATTCACTCCTAAGGGTAGGGTGTCCCAATTTTTGTTGAGATAGGGGGTAGGGTCAAATGTTAAGGCTACATGGCCCTCCAAACAGAGTGTTATGAGAAACAAAGAAAAACCGGCGAGATGGCTGAGCAAGCGACCAGAGAAACCCACAAATGAGAGAATTTTCTCCGTTAAAAACTTACAATGACCATTATATTATCTTAGTTTAATGTCGTTTCAGTGTATTATGGCCGTTTTCTTCATAACAAGCATGAAAAATCGCTAATAATATGCTGATGTCTTGGTAGCTAGCTAGCTAACTTTCCCGTTCCACCTTAAATAGTCCAGCAGTTCTGACGCCTAAAGCGCCAGAATGTAACTGCTGCACCATTTAAGGTGGAACAGGGAAAATTCGAACGAGAAGCTGGTGAATATCTGACTTCAGCTTCACATCACTGAAGAATTAGGGGTGGGTGATAATAAATAATTGCCCCCCTCTTTGAAGGAATATGATGCCCTAAATGTAACTAAAGCCCAGCAGTGAGGAGCTGAACTTTACCCTCCTCTGCTGTCACTGCAGACTGGCAGGGTCGCCTACAGAGCAGCGCTGGTAGCTGTTAATGAAGTGATGCTCTTTTTTATTTGAGGGTCCTATTTCATACCACTACCCCTTGTAAGTCAGTTCCAAGGGACAAAGTGAGACTTGAAAACAAGGGGTAGGGGTAAAAATAAGAAATGGGGCTGGGCCTTAGTCAGAATCCAGTTTTCCATGATATTGGCCTGTTAATGTTCAAGCCGAATACAGTTGTTTAGGCCAGAGTTTCAGTAAATTCATAATTTAAGGACAAACTAGTTAAAGCAAGTCACTCTTATACAGCGTGTGTATGTGGTGATTTCATTCCTGAATTCTCTGAAGGATGATTCCTGTGGGCGCCAGTTAATTTGCCTGCACTGAAACCATTCCAGCAAATTATCTGCACAGCAAAGCAATTACTTGGCGTCAATGCTGTAAAGGACTGTCTGTCGTAGCTTCTAATTTACCACATCAAAAACGGACCATTAACACTTTTGCTCTTGGAATGAATGAGCAGCTAAAACTAAGGAACGGGTCCGTGGTGGGGAGGGATAAAGCTTTTCAAAGATTCTGTCCAGATATTTTTGAGAACAGAACTGTTCTCTGCATTTTTCACTTCCATTTTTAACCTGTTCTGCCTGTAGCAGTTTAGCTCCACCCATTCCTGCTGAAGTTATAAGGTGTGTGTTGGCCTGGACTGCTTTTCGAATGAGGCGCAATTCAGATCAGCCTCTCAGAGCAGAGGACATTTACATATACAATATGGCCAAAAGTATGTGGACGCCTGACTCTCACATCTATATGATCTTGTTGGACATCCCAGTCCATTAAAATTGAGTTGCCCCCCTTTTGCAGCCATAAAAGCCTCCACTCTTCTGGGAAGCTTTCTGCAAGATTTTAGAGCGTGTCTGTGGGGATTTGTGCCCATTCAGTCAAAAGAGCATTTGTGAGGTCAGGCACTGAAGCCTGTCCCGCAATCAGTGGTCAGGGATCTGTGCCGGCCACTGGAGTTCCTCCACACCCTCATCAAACTATGTCTTTATAGCCCTTGCACAGTCATGCTGGAACAGGACAGGAGCTTCCCCAGACTGTTAAGTTAAAAGCATATAACTGTTTAAAATGTCTTTGTTTGTTGCAGCATCAACATCACCCTTCACTGGAACTAAGGGGACCAAAGCCTGAAAAACAGCCCCAGCCCATCATCCCTCCTCCACCAAACTTTAATGTTGGCACTGTGCATTCTGGTAAGTATTGTTCTCCTGGCATCCACCAAACCCAGATTCATCCATCAGACTGACAGATAGTGAGACATGGTTTATCACCACAGAGAACACGTTTCCACTGCTCCAGAGTCCAGTGGCGGCGCTTTACACCACTCCAGCTAACGCTTAGCATTGCGCATAGTGATCTTAGGCTTGCGTGCAGCTGCTCAGCCATGGAAACCCTTTTCATGAAGCTCACACACACAGTTATTGCACTTATGCTGCTTTCAGAGGCAGTTTGGAACTCTGTAGTGAGTGATACAACAGAGTATAAGTGATTTTTGCGCACTACACGCTTTACCACTTGGTGGCTCCTGCTCTTTACATCTGCTTCATGGCTGTTGATCACAGTACTTACAGTTGACTAGGGCAGAGCTAACAGGGTAGAAATTTCCCAACTGTCTTGTGGCACATTTAATCACAGGGCAGTCGTGGGCTGGAGGTTAAGGAACCAGCCTTGTGACCAGAAGGTCGGTGGTTCGATCCCCTGAGCAGACAGTACATGACTGAAGCACCCTTGAGCAAGGCACCTAACTGCTCCCCAGGCGCCGTGGATAGGGCTGGCCACCACTTGCTGCCCCCTAGTGTGTGTGCTTTAAGGGCAGTCATGGGCTGGAGGCTAGGGAACCAGCCTTGTTCGATCCAGTTCGATCGCCTGAGCTGACAGGACATGACTGAAGTGCCCTTGAGCAAGGCACCTAACCCCCACCTGCTCCCTGGGCACCGTGGGTAGGGCTGCTCACTGCCCCCTAGTGTGTGTGTTCACTAGCACTAGTGTGTATGTGGTGTTTCACTGCACCGATGGGTTAAATGCGGAGGTGAATTTCCCTGTTGTGGGATTAATAAAGTAGATAACTTAATTCTACTGCCAGTGTTTGTGTATGGAGATTGCACGGCTATGTGCTTGATTTTACCTGTTAGCAATGATTGTGGCTGAAATACCTGACCTCAATAATTAATAAAGTCCACATATAAAGAAAAGGAGGAAAACAGATGGAGAAAAACGTGTTTTCAGAAATATCTGGATCCTACAGCCTGTAGTTGGGGAGCTGTTCGCTCTAAGTGGTGCTGAAACCTGCTGCAGCGCTGTCCGTGGTGCTGGAGTGTAAGACCGAGCGCTGTCCGTTGCCACTGGTGCTGAAAGCGAACACGCAGGAGCTGTCCGCAGCCCCGCGGCGCTGAAACGAAAGTGACTGGGAGCAGTCCGCTACAGATGGTGCTGAAATCCATCACACATGGGGCTTCAGTAATGTGACGCAAATTGTGACATTGTCAGAAGAGCTTAGATCTTAGTCCTGATTGGCCAGCTGATGCAATGCTTGCGGTACTGTCAAAATGGACAAAGATCAAGTCAGAAGATGCTGATTACTACAAATACATCTGATTAATTTCGCTTTTTGGCTGCTACGGATATTATTAGATATGTTTGACCAAGATCAACAAAAATAATGCTGACTGCCACTGTGTTTGATGTATGTGACAAAGGGAAATGCTGATTGCTACAGCTAGATTTAAATAAATGTCTGTTCAATAAGCAACGTTTCTTTCATTCTCAGCCTCTGAAATCAACATTTATTTACATCTCTCTCTCTCTTTCTCTCTCTCTCTCTGTGTTTTATTTGGCTGCATTACGGAGGTCCATTCATCAATAATTCATGGCTCGGGAGCAGGATGAGGGGAAGGGAGTGGATGAATGAAGGAGATGGGGTGACTGTGAAACAAAGAGAAAAGAAAAATGAGAGACAGAGTGATGAAGAAATAATCCAGCGGTGATTAGCAGCCAAGAGGAGAGCAACACAAACAGGAGCGGACAGGCGGGCATCTCATTTAGGACTGGACGTCTGTACTGGACGTCTGCATGGGTGTGGCAGTCTGCTCAGTGTGTGTGTGTGTGTGTGTGTGTGTGTGTGCGTGTGTGTGTGTGTGTGTGTGTGTGTGTATCATCGCACAAGCAGGACTAAAGATTTTCATTCACAGCTCTGCTTTATTACCCACAATTGAAGCAAACCCAGCAAAAACCACGTCCACTCTCTCTCTCTCTCTCTCTCCTCATCTATTGCTCGATCACTCCTTTCTCCACCCTCATTCTACCACTGTTTTATTCTCACTGATGCACTCCTCACTTCATCACTCCACCACGCTATCTCTGAACCACATCTCTCTTTCTCACTCTTTCACTCTCTCTCTCTGTCGATGCGCTCAACCACTGCGGTGCTGAAACAAAACTCTTTCTCTCTGCCTCTCTCTGTGTCTCGGAATGTTCTGTCCTAGAACGTCCAGATGTTAACCGAGAATATCTAACACTAACCAGAGCGTCCACACTGAAACAAAACATTGAAACCTTATCAGAACATTCAAACCTTACCAGAACATTCAAACCTTACAAGAACGTCCAAACCTAAGCAGAACATTCAAACCTTACAAGAACGTCCAAAGCTAAGTAGAACAGTTAAACCTTCAAAGAACATCCCAATCTATGCAGAACATTCAAACCTTACAAGAACGTCCAAACCTAAGCAGAACATTCAAACTTAACAAGAACATCCTAAATA